GCAGGGGTGGCCTGCGACTGGTGGGCTGCAGGGGTGGCTTGCGTCTGCTGGGCTCCGGGGGTGGTCTTCGTCTGCTGGGCTGCAGGGGTGGTCTGCATCTGCTGGTGGCTGCGGGGGTCCTGCTGTCTGGTGGGCAAAAGAATAGCTTTGCCATTAATAATTCCCTCACTGGAGGACAGACGCCTGACTCTCCTTCTCTTCCGTCGGCGATTTGGGCTTTGAAAGGCCTCGCTCAGAGGAGTTGGGTAGCAGGTCCCTGTCCTCCTTTAGGGGTGTTGAGTGAGTTCTCTCAACGATGCCGTCGCTGTCGCTGGAGGACATCATATTTTGAGACTAATATTTATTAAACTGTCGAAGCTCAGAATTATGGGAGATATTTATGAACCTTTCTCCCTCTGTAGAGTGCGGTACCTACTAAAGATGGTGAAAATTTCAAGTTGCTGTTTGCTTTTGTTTTGAAGTTGAAATTTTTTAAGGGAGACTTTGCAGTTGAGAAAAACAACGATTTTGAGACTGATAGTTACATATTTAACTGATAAAACTGTTGATTCTAAGCTATTTTTTATGAAACTTTCACCGTTTGTAAAGTCAAGTGTCTTTTAAATATGGTGAAAATTCCTAGATTCCACTTGCTTTAGTTTGGAAAATTAAAATTTTTGATGGAAAAATTTGAGATGAGTAAAACATTCATTTTGAGACTGATGTTTCTTACACTAGTGAATCTCAGGATTCTGGGCAATATTTATGAAATTTACAGCTTCTGTAGACTCAAAAGTTTTCTATAGATGGTGACCTGAACCCGTGAGCCAGATTTTAACATACTTGGAATGGAATCCGCCTCTCTGGATGCTAATGGAACATTTGAATCGAATTGAATAAAACCTTGTTTTGCACCAAATCATTAAAAAATATGTGGCTACACATACAATTGGAGTGAAATTGCATCGCAAAAAAATTGAAAGCCTCGCTTAGTTTGAATACAAAAACATTTTGGGCCTAATTAGTTAATAACGAATTTCTGTTGCAAAGTGCTGGTCAGATTCATTTTGTTTGGTCGATATATTTAGTTCCAAACAAAGCTTTTAGCGAATTTGTTATTTTGCTCGACGGTGCTATTTATTTTTAATTTGCTCAACATGGAAGTAATGGAAGATGGAAATTTAATGGACAAAGTAACTGTTTTAATTCAGAGAGATATGGAATATTACAAGGTAAATGAACCTTATTTTTAAAACCGGCACACCATTTGCTGCAGAAAAATGGTGCAGCTATTTCTGCATAAAAGGTTTTTGAAATGTCTGCAAATAAATCACATCTAGTACCTGTATTTGAAAAAAAATTTCATATGAAATAATTCTTTCCTGAACAGGATTTATTTTAAATTTGTATTGCTTAGCTTTTTAGTCCTTTTAATTGTTTTTCGACAAATTTATCTCATATTTTGCCCTTTGTTTATTTATTTTAATCAGAATTCCTTGTTATAGGCAAATCAATCAGTTCTTCAAGAAACTGTCTGTCCCGGAATCATTGGCGGACGTTTCGATTTTCCTAGATCTGCTTCATTTGCAGCCATCAAACTGGCTGTGTGGTGGGAAGATGAATTTATTGCTGCCTACAGGAAACCTTCTGGTAGATCCACATTCCAACAAGACCGCATTTGCATTTTCACAATGAACTTGCAGGATTTTTCCAAAAAAGCCTGATGGAAGGAGCTCGAGATAACAGTGAAGCGTCTGGAGGCTGCGGTGGGATAGTGCGCTCTTCTGATCCGGCAAAGTTCATTTCTACCATTGGAAAATCTGCTGATCAATTGCTGAGTATGACCGTACTTTTTCTTACACATCTGATGCAGAATCTTCAGGTTTTTGTGCTTTATTTTAGAACACCTACACGTTCTCACGCAAGAAGCTTTGGATCATGCAGACCTAACTGTTTTAACAGGTAATTTAGTTGTTGTAATGAACCTTTGCATACTTTGTAAAAATTTCTTGCTTAGGTACGATTGGGGCAACAGCGCTTTTGAAAAACTGCTTAAGATTTTACATTCAAATTTTAAGTGATGTGAAGTCGCCATCAATAGAGCCTCTGCGAACTGGTAAGCGCGGTAAATTCCAGTTCATTTGCCATTGTTGGTCACTTTTCTATTACAGGTTATAAGAAATACAATGAGATGTGCGAAGCTCTTGCTGAAAGGCTGCTGGATTTACATTGCCGGCTTCTATCGCTCTACATAATCCAAGATGCTGATTGCTTAGATTGGGAGAACGACAAACCGTTTTTTGAATCAGAACGCGGGTCGTATATTATACAAATGTGGTGGCTTTATATGCAAGGTGCAAATTTTATTAATTGAAGAGTCCAGGGAAGAAATGTGCAAAGTCGGAATTTTGGTAAAATTGAGTGGACCTAGTTGATTGATTATTTCCTGCATTCATACTGGGAATAAACACCCAAGATCAGCAGACATTTACGGGTTTCATAAGTGAGTAGAGGAAAAACTTACCATAGTAAGTAAGTAAAAACGTGCAAAGTCTCGAATAAACACTGCCATAAAAACCTAATTCTTTAGTTTTGTTTCTAATATTACCGTGCGGGCATGGAGTGTATCAGCAGTGAAGAAGGAATCGGTAAACAAAGTAGGTCTGGGTAACTCAATAAATTTTTATGAGTTGGCGCAGTGCTACGCAAATGGCTTGGTGCGCTAACCCGGCACCGGCGCAGTAACTCAGTTCCGTTTCTGGGAAAATGTTGATAATTTTTTTTTTGCTTGATTTTAAATTTATTTTAAGGGCCATTCATCAATAACATTTTTAACATTTCTTCAAAATTTCAGAATTTTTTTTATAAATGCTTAATTTTCAAAAAATTCACTTAAAAATACTGACAATGTTAAGGTATTTTTCGCGAAAAATTATAAATACATTTTATTAGAACACTCGCCTCCTTCGTTGCTTTGCAAAAAGTTTTGAAATCCTTTTCGAGCATCGAATTTGGGACAAAAATCAAGTAATTTTCTATCAAAAAACGAACTGAATAAGCCAAAGTTTATAATAAATTATCTGGAAAACTCATCACTTCCATTCCTCTGACGACTGTAGAGTATGTTAAAAAAATGTGGTTTTTAGTTTTGACTGAATTTTTCTTGCTCTGTTTTCTTCAAAACGCTCTATTTTGTAGAGTTTTACTTATTCCCGAAAACTATCAAGGTTTTCGCAAAAACCGATAACAAAACTACAAGTTTTTAATCAAAAACGCGAAAACATATAATTTTCTGATGATTTTCTTCAATATGGGGTCTTTGCAACCAAATATGACAAAATTGATTTTGCTAGTAAATTCGCCTCATTTTGCAAAGAACTTTAGGAAACCCTTTTCAGCTTCGAATTTGGCACAAGAACCAAATAATTTTATTCAATTTTTTACCGAAAGCAATTAAGATTATCTTGGAAAAAAAACGGACAGAGCAAAAGTTTTCAAAAAATTATTAAATTATATACATTTTTTTTCTGGAACCTTTTGCAGCTTCGATTTTTGCACAAAACCCTAATAATTTTATCTAGATTTTTTCGGAAAAACTTTTCCCCGAACAGAACAAGTGAAAGTAAATGATCAATTATTCGGAAAACTCGTCACTTTTGTCGCTGTGAATAATTTGGTTTATTTAAATTCGGGTTTCTCACTTTTAGGTCAATATTTCTAAACAAAACGTTTTACTGTAAAATGCTGGCAAACTGAGAGTATTTTATGCAAACAAGTTAAAAGATGGATTTTACAAGAAAAGGCATCATCTTCACAGTTTGGTCTTCTTCATCGTCTTTTTCAAATACCATTTACCTTTGAATTTGGGACAAAATCGAAACAAAGTTATCTTGTTTTTTTCGACAAAGTTTAGGTTTCCTTAAAAAAACGACCAGAAAAAGCAAAAGCATATAATTAATAATTGGAAAACTCGTCACCCTCATCGCTCTGAAATTTTTCACGCTCTGAAAGTTTCTTTAAAATTTCCGGATTTTCCCCCGTTTTAGACCAAATAGTTTCAAGCAATCGTATGCGCAAAAGCAATATGTTGATGGTTTTTTCGTTAGATGTTAAAATTTCGTCACCGGCCATGAGTTATAACTCATTAACCAATGCGTTGAAACTCATTAACTCAGAGAGCGGCAACAACTGAAAAGCGCAAGTCAACACAGTGTTACCCAGGCCTAAAACAAAATGAAAATCTTACTGAAAAACGGAAATTTACCGGTCGTGTGCGGCTGACCGCAAGTGCACCAGGTTGAAATGTTTCCACAAGATTGATTCCAATGAATGTATCAAAATCCGTAAAAACTTACCCGAAACTTAAGACGCGAAAAAAAGTATACAATGTACAAAGTAATACATCCAGGTAAACCAGTATTCTGCGAAGTGTTTGGTTCTGTATTTTCTACCGAATTTAATATCAGTTTTGGCTATCGGAGCTCGGGTACCTGCAGCACTTGCGACCAATTTGCCTACAAAATGAAGTTTTTAAATTTAAAACTTGGACAACATGTAAATAAAGATGAACCAAATCGTGAAAAGGGGGGTATGCCTCTTTTGCCGTAAAAAGAGTGATGACCGCAAACCATACAGAAGCAATCGCCATCGATTTCCAAAAAAAATCATCTAGTGCCTCCTTTTATTCATTAATTCATAGACTTTCCTACAATGAATCTGTTTTTACATCTGTTTTAAAAAATGTGCTACAAAGGGAGTCAATGAGTCATTTTTGGATGAATATTTTAGTCATAATCTTGCCAGAAACGTTCGGAACGCATGTATTTTTTGCTATTTATGTGGTGGACAGAACAAAAATTTCACATTTCGATATTTCACCATATAAGTAGTTTACAAAAGAACGCGATTTGATACCGTGAAATTAGCATTTGCTGTTAAGGGACCTTGCTACATGGAGTCTGACAAAAATGGGTTTAATCAAATTCACAACCAGAAATTAGTTACCAGATGACTGGGACCAGATATTTACGGATGCAAAAGCCAAGCCATCACCATTGAAAGGTGAAAAAGTCGAAAAACGTTTTATCGAATCCTTGCTACATCACAAAATATTTTGTTATCAGGGCCTGTAACAGAAATGGAAGTGACTGCAAAACATCCAAGAATAATACGGCACCGTGATAATTATAATGGAAATTTGGTCACCTCCATCGTTGTTAAGCCAAATTTCAGACGCATTCGAGTACCTCCATTACTAAAAACTGAATTTTATTATCCAGCAAGAGCTTATTTGGAAATTTTTTTATGTTCCGGCAACTTAAAAAAATGTTAAGTAATTTTTTAGATTAAATTCCTCTGCGAGGGTGAACTATCAGGACTTGCAGGAACTTGAAAAATTTGTGATAAAGTGTACACTCTTTTTATCACAACCGGTCGGCTCTACCAAACGCAAAAAAAATGGTTTACATTTTCGACCAAAAGACCAAAAACAGATGCTCTTTTCTTCAGTTTGCACTTTGCCTTAGGACTTATAGTTTTTTTTCCAGTTGGAGCAGTAGCTACTAACTACCTAATTTCCTTTCTATATTTCTATAGTGCATCAGATTTATAAGTTAAAAACCATGGTAACTAAACGGCTTTCAAGTTTAGAATCAAACTAACTGAAATTGTTTCTAAAATAACTTTGCACGTTTCTTCCCTGTACTCTTCAATTGATATTCATAGTTCAGCTTTCTTTACTAAAGGAAATTCTTAGGCACCAAAGAAGACCTTTGGAATACAGTTCCTCCAAAGATGGCTCAAAGAGTATTCGCTGGAATGCTCAACGAGTCACTCACAATTCTGACGGTTCGTTATTCTCAGGTGAGGTTCCAGATTTCATATTTTCCATAAGTTTAATTTAATTTTCATTCAAAGTGTTTGCCATCGGAAGCCAGAACTGAGTTGCTTCTAGTTGATATCAGCAATTTGCTGTTTTGTGTCGCTCAGCTATTGCCATCCATTTGCGATACAGTTCAAGATCTAACAGGCAGCGGCCAAATTACCAAAAGCAAAATGTTGAGGGACGTTCACGTGAAATGTCAGCAGTTGTATTGCTGTTTTTTGCTGCGAGGCACTTCTTTGGATACTTTGCATAAGGTAAGAATTCGTTGCGTATTGGCCCTTCGGGCACGACACTGGACGCAATCCATTCAAACTCATTTGTATTTAAGTTCATGAGAACCCTATAATCAAAATTTTACTACAGTTTTGCTTGTACAAAAGGTGCTAAATTCCGAAAGTTTGTCTCCAAAATTCACTGCTTTTGTTTTAAAAATAAACACCTGATTTTTTTTCTAATAGCGTTCTCCAAAATCGTTCAGGAAAGGACTTCGCCAAATGAATCCTTAACACTTTGGTATGAACCGAATATTTCATGAGAAACAACTTTTTTCGTTGAGAGGCCTTGTTTTGCCGAAAATAAATATACTATCGACGTAAATCATAGAGTTTTCGACTAAAATTCAAGAAATTACTTTTCAAAAATTTTCCTTAATTGAAAGTTTCATATGGACAAAATTTTCCGCGGCTGAATTAGAAGAGAAAGAACGAAAGCTTTTCATTCTTGTAAAAGTTCTTTCGTTCTCTAAAACCTCCACACATTTACACCAAAAGAGCTTATTTGCGCTCAATTCACTGTTTTCTATTATTCCTTCATGTTCAAAACCAAGTAAAGTTTTTCGCGGTGTCAAAAAATCGTATCTGAGAAACTACTGAGAAAATTAGCTTCGAAATATTAAAACCTTATAGCTTATGAGTCACTTTATGGGAAAAGTGAACAGAATCTTCAGTGGCTTCCTCAGAATTTCCTTATTGTTTGCCATGTCGGAGATATTTGAGCGATTTAAAACCGTGGGAAATGTTCTGGAAAAGCATTCAAGTCTGAACGTTTTTGAATCTTACCATCTGTCTAGTAAAGTGTATTCTAAAAATGGTGAGAATTTCAAGCTGCTGCTTGCCTTGGATTTGAAAATGCGAATTTTTAAAAGAATGAATTCATTTTTCTCATATCCTTCATTATGAGTAAGCTATTTACTGAGCTGCAAAACTCAGGAGTCTGGGCGATTTGTATGAAACGTTCAGTATGTTTAGAGCCACGTTTTTTTTCAACGATGGCGAAAATGTTTAGTGGCTACTTGATTTACTTTGGAAAATACGAATTTTGAAAGAAAAAGCAGAATTGAATAAAAACATCCGTTTTGAGGCTCACAATTATTGAACTGGTAAAACTCAGCATTGTTATTGTATTTTAAAAACTTTCAGAAGTTTGTAGCATCTATAGGGTCAAACATCTTCTAAATATGGTAAAATTTTCAGCCGTCTGTTTGCGTTCGTTTGGAATTTGCGAAGTTTTAAGGGAGATAATACAGTTGATCAAAATCGTCTACATATTTAAACAGCGATATTTAGTAAGCTTTTTAAGTAAATTTTCAGCACACCCAGAATCAAGTGTCTTCTCAGGATCGTGAAAAGTTCAGCTTGCGAGTTGCTTTAGTTGAGATAACGTGAATTTTTAAAAGGAAAAGCGCAGTTAAGCAAAAACATCCATTTTGAGATTGATATTTATGAAACTGGCGAGACGCAGTATTTTTCAGAAAAATTATGAATCTTTCAGCATCTGTAACACTCAGTGTCTTCTATAAATGCTGGAATTTTTAGTCTACTGCTTGATTTGTTGAAGAATGCAATTGGAAAAAAAATATCCATTTTGAGCCTGATCTTTAACAAAATCATAAAACTCAGAATTTGGCGAATCTGATAAAACTTTCCGTATCTTTGGGGCCAAGGATGACCTAAAGATGGCGATAATTTCAGGTTGCTGCATGCTGTAGTTTAGACGTTACGAGTTTTTAAAGCTTGCTGATTAAGCACATCCATTTTGAGATTGACTAAAGTGATCAAACCCGGGATTCTGGGTTGTTGTTATCAATCTTTTTTATCATTATGGCCAAGTATCCTCTAACGACGGCAAAAATTTTAGATTGCTACTTGATCTAGTTTGGAAAATGATAATTTTTAAAGGAGAACGCGCAGTTGAGTGAAAACATCTGTTTTGATACACATTTAATAAATTAGTGAAAGTCGCATTTTGGACAACACTTATGAAACTTTCAGCATCGTCTAAAAATGGTGAAAATTTATCCCTTCTATGGGTTTCAGTTTGGGAGATTATGTTTTTTAAAGAAGAAATTACAGTTGACGAAAAACCCAAAATGAGACTGACGTTTATTAAACTAGTCTATCTCAGCAATTTAATCGATAGTAATGAAACTTTCAAGATGTTTAGAGTTACGTTGTTTCCAGACATGGTAAAAACCTTAATTTGATACTTGCCTTGGTTTAGATGATACGAATTTTTAAGGGAGAGTGCGCAATTGAGTAAAATCATCCGTTTTGAGACCGATATTCGCTAATCTGGCAAAACTTGGGATTTTGGGCGATCTTTATGATTCTTGTAGTATCTGTAGAGCCAGGTGTTTTCGAAAGATGGTGAGAAAGATCTAAAACTGCCACCTACTTTAGTTTTGAAGATGCGATTTTTTAAAGAAGAAAGCACAGTTTGGCAAAAACGTTCAAGATGAAACTGATATTTCTTGAACTGACGAATCTCAGGATTCTCAGCGACATAGACGAAACTTTGAGAATTTTTAGAGACAAGTTTTTTCTATGCATGCTAAATATATCAATTTGCTAGCTGCTTTGATTTGGATGATTCGAATTTTTAATTGAGAATGATCACTTGAGTAAAACTATCCAATATGAGACTGGTAGAACTGGGGATTCTGAGCGTTTGTTGGAGAATCTGATCACAGATCAATCCTCAATTCTAAGGTTGCTACAATATTAAATAACTGAAACATCTCAAGCTGTGCTAGAGGCAATCAAATTTCCGTAAATATTACTGTTCGCAATTTTTCTTTCAAAAAATGAAACATATAATCCGGCCATAAAGCTTTATCTCTGAGACGATACTGACTTGTGTGAGTAATTTGTGCGAGTAGATAATTTTTCTTCAGATTTTTAAAAAAGGCACTGACAACCTTAATCTACTGAACCCCAAAGGAGCTGCGCCTACTCCATGGATCATCTTTGCTTTACCCAACATTTTTAAAGATGGAAACATTTCCTTAAACCGCCTGACCGAAGTGGAAGAATGCAGCACTTTGGGCATGGAACTGATGGTTTTGTTGGCTCAACCACAAGCAAATTGGGCTCTGTTATTGAAGGTGAAGCTGCAACTTTTAATTTGTTTTGATGTCAATATCAAGCCCTCGTGTGGGTCTAGTTGAGTAGCCAACAATATTTGCTTGTCAGTAGTTACAAACATCTTTTAGGTTCTTTGCAGCAAAAAGTTCAAAGTTCTTCGGATACTTTTGAACGAGTTCATGGAAAGATCCAATCAAGAGTTGCGAAAGACGCCTTTAAAGGCTGAAGACTGCGGCAATCTTCTCTGTTCAGGGGATGGTACATGCAAAAACATGGACATAACTTCTTCAACATTGACACCAAACCACTACTATGAACTAATAATGTCAGCCTCACAAGTGTTGCTGCATGTGGGAAATGAGGAAGAGCTGAAGGAATATTTCGTGGAAGTTGTGATGCGACACTCGAATTGGGCCAAGTGTTTTGAAAGACGCAATGTGAGTATTATGACCATCCATTGCAAAAATCAACTCTTTTTACATCGAACTATTGAAATAAGGCTAAATGGAGGCAAAGCATAATACTATTTACCGCTATAGATTTTGCATCCATTCCTTTAATTAAAATAAGGGAGGTACGTGTAGGTTCCGAGCTCGGCAGTTTCCGATTTTTTAATTAATCATCCGAGAGCGAAAGCATTTGTAAACTTCGAAGTATTTTCAGGTTTGGAATCAAATTCGCCCCGCATGGTACGAAGCAATATTAAACATAGTTTTCCCGATATTACCAGTAGTTGAGGAAACTGTTATTAATGCTTTACAAACTGGAGCAACTATGTACCAGGCGATGTCGTTGATTGTTGCTTGTTTCAGCCAGTTTTGGGATATGTTAGGTAAACACACTTACACAGATATCATGTGGATAGTTGATTTGGCAAGTTTAGGACAGTAACTTACGCAAACTGAAAATTGTGCCTGGAATTTTCCATTTCAAACTTGTATTTCAGATGACTTAATTTAACATGAGGATTTTACAAGAATTGGAAGATTTAAGGATATCGTAAAACATTGATATCAAAATGGGAAAATAACGTGCAAAATCATTTTATACACAATTGGGGTTTTTTCGATTTTAGATGCAATGCGGTGCAATTTGAAGAGACCAGGAGCTGGATTTTTTCTAAACATTCGACCAGTTTTTCTCATGTTTGGTAGAAACGGCAGCTTCTTATCACAAGAGGGTACTTTTCCATAAGAATTTTTAAAAAGTTCTAGCAAGTTTGCTACTTATCTTCCGTTATAAGAAGTTATCGGCCACCTTTTTTGGAAAATTCATAGCTATTGTTTCTATAGTGTTTGTTGCGCGTTCGAGCATCTCTCTGTTTGCAGTAAAAAACATCCCCATTTTGGTGAATTGTGTCTTGTACTGTAAGGTTGTGTATTTTACGATCTATTTCATCCTTATCTGAATTTTGCGCATGTTTCAAATTTAAAAGCTACATTTTGGAGGCGAATTGATCGTAAGTGCTGCAGGTATCCGAACGCGGATAGCTAAAACTAATATTAGATTCGATTTAGATGCGATAGGTTTCATAGGATGGTTTATCTGGATGCATTGATTTGTATATAGGGTGTCTCGAAATTAGGTGGCCAAACTGAAACAGTGAAATCTGCTCTCAAAAATAATATTAATTTTTTAAATCAACATTTATCGAAAAATACTCCCTAACGGAGCTACGTCTTCTTGAAGAGTAAGAAGAGTCAGTAGTAGGGTTTTTGCAAACTATTTCTAAACTGTTGAACTTCAAAACGTAAGTTTTAGGAAATGTATAAATTTTGGTATGCTGAATCGTGATCTGAAATTAAAGCTGACAGAATTTCATCATAGACGTATCAGTTGNGGGGGGGAGGGGGTAGAAGTACAAAAAAGGTTCTCACTTTTAAATCAATCCTTTTTCTACAAAGTGTAAAAATCTGAATAATACTGTTATCCATACACATTTTATATTTTAAGTTAATATTATTGCAGTTTATTTTTCTTTACGAAGTCAGGAAAATAAATCACAATAAAGTTAAAATTATTATCGACACTAATATATAAACAAATATTCAAACAAATTTCCATTTTCTTGAATGCGCACTCTGGACCCTCTCCTAGTATGTTGGGTGGCACGGAGAATTTCAAAATGGTTTGTTTTATTTGATTTTTGGCCTAGATAATAATCGAATAGATTTAGATCAGGCGATCGAGCTGGCCAGTTTACTAGGCCACCTCGACCTATCCACCTGCTTCGAAAATGTTGGTTTAGCCAATTTCTCACAAGTTGGCCAAAGTGGGCTGGATCCCCATCATGCCGGAAGAACATTTCTAACCGAATGCTTATAAGAATATACTGTAGCAATTCTTGTAGATCATGATGTAGAAAATTTAAATAATTTTGGGTATTTAACCTATTTGGTAAAATAATCGGTCCTATCAAGATTGAAACCTGCTCATACATTGAAATAGGACATATGTTGAAAATTTGCTTTTCGAAGAGCCCTCGAATTCTCGAGGCTCCAAAAATGAGTATTATCCTCATGCGACCGAAAAAAAATTGTTGGTGGCTTAGAATCCAACGGCAAAATTTTGTACGTGCTGGAAAATCGTTGGCTCTTAAATTATGTACTCTTTTATAACGGAAAGGATGCAATCCTTGCTTTTGAGTCATTCTTCCGATATGAAAATATGTTTTAAATTAAATCATGTGTTGTATGGCTTCGTGCAATATTTTATTTGTTTTTTCCTATAATTTTTTTAATAATCAAAAAAATTGCACGAAGACATTCACTAGTTTTTTCATACTGGATAAAAGTTAAAATGCTTACAATGGACTTAGGGATATTGGTAACATTTTTATAAAACAGTGATATTTTTTAAGTCATTTAGTCTTTAGTCTAGATTTAGATCGAAGTAAATTCAGAGTACGTTTTCTTCGTAAAATACTTCAGATTTCCACAATTTGTAGAAAAAAGATTGATTTATAGTATCATAAAAAAGTTAGAGCTTTTTTTGTACTTCTACTCCCCCAAATTATACGTCTATGATGAAATTCTGACAGTTTTAATTTCAGATCGAGATTCAGCGTATCAAAATTACTAAAGTTCCTAAAACTTATGTTTTCAAGTTCCACCGTGAAGAAATAATTTGCAAAAAGCCTTACTGCTGGGCCCCTCTTCAAGAAGTCTTCCGTTAGGGAGCATTTTTCGATACATGTTGATTTACAAAATTAATATTATTTTTGAGAGCAGATTTCACTGTTTCAGTTTGGCCACCTAATTTCGGGACACTCTCTATACATTGTATGCATTTTTTCACATCTAAAATTTCAGATAAGTATACCTTTCCTGTTTTATTAAGACTGTAAAGGCTGCTTCTGTCTTTGGACAACTTTATATGAGACATTTATTGATATCTGGTTTAAGTTTACGGTGACTTGACGAGTGAGCACTTCCTTTAAAATGAAAAAGTGGCACATGAATTGTCTGAATCCTCTTTCATGTTAGTCCGTGAATTGGGCAGAAATCTTTCAGGAACATCAATGACACCAGATTCTTTTCACACTCTTATTCCATGAAAGTAAGAAGCCTGTTGGAAAATACAATTTCTTACTTCAGGGCGACGATTTCTTTGAATATCGGGGCTTAGATTAGCCCAGAAAGATATGCATGAAGAATCAATTGAAGATTTTAAGGATTTTGATACGTTGATTGGAATCAATTTTGCGAAAGGGCCCAATCTGATAATGACTTTGCAGACGAATTTTCTTAGTTACTCACCACACGCTCTCAATTTTCCATTTTTCATTAAGTTTTTCACTTGGTTAACGATTTCTTGGTCACTGCTGACCCCTTCATCCTCGCAGGTTAATATCAGAATCAAAACTAAATAATTTGCGTTATAATGGCTTACTATGGCGTACGGTCAAAAAACTGCCTTTTCACCTTTGGTCCCTGGACTTTTTACATGTAGTTTCAGTAAAATAAACAACTTTTTTGTTTAACGCATTTAGGGTTTAGCCATTCGTTAATTTAATTGCTTTTCTCATTACTTCACACAATTCAAAATTTTATTTCGCCTAATAATTCTTTTCAGATCCGTCCTTGACCAAAATATCGTATATTCTGCAGGAGGTAATACCTTCAGATATCACTCCCATTAGCAATTCTGTATTAATGCAGACTCTGATGAGCGCCCTATATTCCAGCTTGATTAGTAAGTGTTTCTGCTGTTCCCTTCAATTAAAAACAACTCGTTTTCGATATTCTTGTTTCAGTGGTTCCCGAAAAACTCAGTCTGAAAAAAGAAGTAACATTTCACTTGAGTGAAGGAGCAAAACCCGGTAACTTGGAGACGAAACTGTCTGAGCGACCATTTAATAGTGCAGGATCAGCTAAAAGTGCTGCTTTGGCCGCTGCAGAACATCTATGTAGTATAGGTATGTACGGGTTATTGCTTGAACTTTGGCCACCTCGTTTTTGCATCTACTTTGAAATTTAGAGAAAAATATTAAATACAAAAGTTCTAGATTTAGAACATTTTCTGAATCTTTGCATGGGTAACTTGTACATTTTTAAAGATAAAGAATCAGTTAAATGGGCAAAATTGGGCAGAATTCGATTGCCTATTCATTACCGTTTTCAAAATTTAGGTACCCGACTTGGTTCCTGAAATATCCTGAAAAAACAAGAAATCAACACTTTTTTAATTATCACTTATTACGTGAACTACTTAACTTTAACTAAAAAGTTAAAACTGCCCTTAGTACAACTTTTTGCGTTGAATTCAATAAACTAGCACTCGTTACCATAGTCAACTTGATTTACGAGATAAAAATAAACTTATGGTTTTTTAAATGGTAATCATAGTTGGCCTTTTGAAATCCTTATATTTTCAGAATTTAACGATATAATTGTTTGTATGTTTTTCTCCTTTTGTTGCCGTAAAACGTCAAAAGAAGATAAAAATGTGTAGTAGGCTATGGAAACAAGAACTATATTACCACACAAAGCACAAAACAATAATAAATCGTTTTAATTAAATGCTCAAATTGACTTCCGTTTACTTCCAGGCATTTTTTGGCATCTTCACATTCAACTCGTGAGTTGTGTGAAGGTACACCATCATGTTGAAAATATCCCAATTTTCGATACGATGCTACCGATGCTTACGATGGTAAAAAGTATAAATATCTTTCCATATTTAAATTGTGATTATAAAAGAATGGACCAATAATTTTATCACTAAAAATGCCTCACCAGACATTCACAAAAAAAACACGTTGATCTCGCCTATTTTCAATTAGATGATG